TAAATACCATATGATTTCACTGATATGTGGAAGATAAACAAAACACACACAAAGAGAACAATTTAATGGTTACCAAAAAAAATAACAGGAGTTACAGCTAACAAATCAGTAATGGAGGTAAAATTGAATCATAGAAAAAGCTCAATTGCACCAAAAAAGGCAGAAAAGGAAGACTAGGGTAACCAAGAACAGGTGGGACAAATAGAAAACAAATAGCAAGATGGAAGACTTAAACCCAACCCTATCAATAATAACATTACGTGTAACTGAAACTCAACAATACGTAAAACAGGATAATGCATCCCAATGAACAAGTATGATTTGTTCTAGGAATGCAAGGATACAAGGATGTTTTATCCTTTGAAATTCAATCAAAATGTCTTACCATATGAGAGGGTAAAAAAAGAAAAGCCACATGATCATCTCAATATATGCAGAAAAAGCACTTGACAAAATCAAATATCCCTTCCTCATAAAAACTCTCAGCAAGCTAAGAACAGAAGGAATCTCCCTCAATTTGGTAACGGATATGCAAAACCTATGGTTAACATCATACTCAACGGTGAAAGACTACATGCTTTCTCCCTAAGATCAGAAACAAGGCATGGATGTCCACTCTAACCACTTCAAACTAAAATGGCACTTTAGGTTCTAGCCAGCATAACAGTCGAGAAAACAAGATGAAAGGCATCTAGATTTGAAAAGGAAGATGTAAAACAACATGATTATCTATCTAGAAAATTTGATAGAATTTACCAAAAAGCTATTAGAACTAATAAGTGAGTTTAACGAGGTTGTAAGATATAAGATTCATGTAAAAAATCAATTGTATTTCTATATAACACAAAAATCAGAAATTGAAATTAAAAGCCAATGCCATTTATAAGTTCTTAGCGATAAATCTGACAAGATATACGTAAGCTCTGCACCCCGAAAACTACAAAACACTGCAGAGAAAAATCAAAAAATCAATATTAAGATTTCAATTACCCTTAAATTGATCTATATATTCTACATAATCCTAGTCAAAATGCCACAGGCTTTCGTTTCGTTTTTTTAAGAAATTGATGGGGTTGGCCTGGTGGTGCAGTGGTTCATATGCTCTGCTTCGGCGGCCCAGGGTTCACGGGTTCAGATCCCGGGTGCAGACATGGCACCGCTTGTCAAGCCATGCTGTGGTAGGCGTCCCACATAGAAAGAAGAGGAAGATAGGTATGGATGTTAGCTCAGGGCCAGGCTTCCCTAGCAAAAGAGGAGGATTGGCAGCAGATGTTAGCGCAGGGCTAATCTTCCTCAAAAGAAAGAAAGAAAGAAAGAAATTGATAAGGTGATTCTAAAATTCACATGAAAAAACCAAGGACTTCGAATAGCCAAAACAAAGTTGAAAAAGAAGAGGATGCAAGGACTTATACTACTTGACTTCAAGACTTATTATAAAGCATAGTAATCAAGACAGTGTGGTACTGACACCAAGACAGACAGTTTATCATCTCAGTACTATTGACATTTGGGGCCAGAATTCTTTCTTGTGGGGGCTGTGCTATGCATTGTACGATGTTGAGCAGCATCTCTGGCTTCTATCTACTAGAAACCAGTAGTATCTCCCTCGTTGTGAAAACTAAAACTGTCTCCAGACTTTGCCAATGTCCCCTGGGGGCAAAATTGCCCCAGTTGAGACCATTGAGATAGACAATAGATCAATGGAAGAGAACAGAGAATCCAGAAACTGACCCACATATATAAGATAAGGGATTTTTCATTAATTCAACGGAGAAAGTATAGTCTTTTAAGAAAAATGATACTGGAACAATTGGATATTCATACGCAAAAAAAATAAGTCAATCTATACCTTGTACTATGTATACAAAAATTAACTCAAAATGAATCATGGACCTAAAGGTAAAACGAACAGAAGTTATAAAACTCCTAGAAGTAGGATAAAATTTAACCTTGGGTTAGGCAAAGATCTCTTAGATACAACACAGAAGTATGATCCATAAAGAAAAAAAGATAAATTGGACTTCATCAAAATTAAGAACTTCTGCCCTTTGAAAGATTCTGTTATGGGAGTGAAAAGATAAGCTACAGATCAGGTGAACATATTTGTAAATTGTATTGTTAATAATTGACTTGTATCTAGAATATACTTTTTAAACCTCTATATAATAAGAAAACAACAATTCAATTTAAAAATGGGTGAAAGATTCAAACAGACACTTCACTAAAGAAGATATGCATATGGCAAATAACACATTAAAAGATGCTCAACAGTACTGGTCATTAAAGAAACAGGAATTAAAACCACAATGAGATGCTACTACGAACCTAATACAATGTCTAAAATTTAAAAGCCTGTCAATACCAAGTGATGATTAGGATATAGAGCACCTGAAACTCTCATACACTGCTGATAGGAATGTAAAATGGTACGATCACATTGGAAAATCATTTGAGTGTTTCTTAAAAAGTTAAATATATACCTACCATATGACCCAGCCATTCCACTCCTAGATATTTACCCAAGAGGAGTGAAAGCATATGTCCATACAAAGACTTTTACTTAAATGTTCATAGCAGTTTTATTTGTAATACCAAGAATGTAAACAACCCAAATGTCCATCAACAGGTGAATGGATAAACAAATTATGGTATATTCATAAAATGGAGCACTACTCAGCAGTAAAAAGGAATCAACTATTCATACATCCTGTGACACACATGAATCCAAAATAACTATGCTGAATGACAAAAGTCAGATAAACAGTTTAGACTATATGATTTCATTTATACAAAGCTGTAGACAAAACAAATTGATCTCTAGTGACAGAAAGCAGATCAGTAGTCGTCTGGGGAGGGTGGGGTGAGGAGGAGAGGCAGGGAGAAGTGGGGATGGATTACAAAGGGGCACTAGGAATCTCTTGAGGGTGATGGATATGTTCATTATCTTGACTGTGGTGATGGTTTCATAGATGTATACACATATCAAACCTTATCAAACTGCACACTTAAAATATGTGCAGTTTATTGTATGTCAATTATACCTCAACAAAGATATTTAAAGATAAAAATTCTGCTGGTATCAGACTCTCACTCTGTCCTCTGGTTTTAGAATTCTTTTTTCTTTAATTGAGATATAATTGGCATATAACTGTGTAAATTTAAGGTGTACAATGTGTTGATTTGATAATTTATATTTTGCAGTACGATTCCCACTGTAGCATTAGCTAACATATCTATCATGTCACATTATCATTCCTTTTTGTAGTGAGAAAAATTAAGATCTAGTCTCTAAGCAACTCTGAAGTTTATAATACAGTATTGTTGACTGCAATCACTATGCTGTATATTAGCTCTCCAGGACTTATGCATGAATATATATACATATACTCACACACACTAGTTGCAAGTTTGTACCATTAAACAACATATCTCCTGCACTCTCATAACCATATCACATTCTCAAAGGTTTTCCATATTAATCCATTTATTTTTCTAATGAATCAATTTAGCATCCATTAATAAGTGAGATTTTTTCAATTCTAGTTTTAAATTTTCTTCTTCCTCAAGTTTTATGAATTCAGTTGACAGTGAATTTTGTATTATCTAACAAGAGAATTTATAGTTAATATGTACGTGGCAAAAGATCACTAAGGCTTTGCCATTACGACTAAGTTAATTAAGCAGAATTACAAATGTCTAGACATCAGAACAACATATCATTTAAGATGTCTAAAGCCTAAATCAGCTGATGAGGAGAAGTCACTGCAGTCCCCCTTCTGGAGAAAGTAAGATGTTCTATGGTCTTGAAAAATAGGCAGAGTGGAATAAAGCAGAAAAAGCAGAGGGAAAAAATTAATGATCCCTCCTTTTGAAGTTACATACTTCTGTCATTACTGCTAAAATATAAAGCTGTGCTTGAAGATCTCACAGTGTCAAAATGTGGGGGAAAAGGGACTATTTATACCTTATTACACACATTGTTTTAAAATGTGGATGGCTGGCTGAGTTGAGAGTACTAAATGCATATATATATCCCCAAATGTGATGATAACCGGAGTTACTGGTAGTTATGCTTAAAAACTTTCAGGTTCCAAATTTAACATAAATCTCTAGCCAAAATTCTCAGGTATTAAAGTGTTTATTGAGTATGTTCAAGATGAACAAAACTACCACTAGCTCCAGGAAAAGTATAAAAAGAAAACTAATAAGTTTAAGAAAAAAATACAGGATTTTTTTAATGAAAAAATTACATTATAACAAGGACACTATACATTAAGTTACAATATATATACACATTTTTTAAACTTTTTAAAAAATCTGGTACAAATTAAACATCTTTCTCACACTGCATGATTAAGTGTGTATTTTAACAGGCAATAAAGATGAAACACAAGCTGGTGGGCCTCAAAATTAGAAACTTTAAGGCAGGACCAGATCCCAAAACCTGTTTTCTATCACATTTGTGACTTTTAGAAAACATTTACCTTTACAAGATATGAAAGCTTTTCCTTTTAATTACGTTAAATGCTAACACAGAAATTCCTATTGAAGGAAAGGCCCACCATGGCGATGATTATCTGTAATCCACTGTAGGACACATAAAGTTCCCTTGGAGGCTTGGAACACGAAAACCACGAGGAAACAAGCTCAGCTGTAATTATGAATTCCTAACTGCTTATTTTGAACGTCCAACTTACTACTTTAGCTATTATACCTTGTAATACACAACACAAAGGAGCAAATGTTAAACTTTGCTGTAGAGCTGTTAGGAGAATGCCAAATATAGCTACTAAAAATTTTATGCACTTGTATTTAATACCCTTGCATTTAGAAAATAATTGAATATTTAAATATGTAAACATACTTTTTAAAAAGCAATTCTAAGCACCTTTAAACTACAATACTGACATATTGTGACTGAACATGCATTTAGAGGACAAATGAATTTTTAAAAACTAATCTGAAACCATTTTTAAAAGGCTACTAATTGAAATACTTACATGAAAATATTGATAGTTCCAGTTTCTACCTAAAAACCAAAAGAGTATACAATTAGGGATTTAAACCTTCTTCATGCTCTTTTTCTTCTTCTATTTTTGGTTTGTGGGGAGGATGCACTGTAACTTTCTGTCCTCATAATAAAAAAACAGTATCAGAAGAGACATTCACATCGAACGGAGTGAGAGAAATGTTTTTAAACTGTTTTGTTCTTGATCAAGTGCCAAAGTCTGAATCCTCCAACACCCCTCATCCTCACGGGCAACTGACTGGAGTCTGTATCTTAACAAGCATTTCTCCTTAGCAACTCAACATCAAAACAGAAAGGAATGTCTCCAAAAGAATATACTGCAACTGGTGAAGTATTTAATAATAAACCATTACCATTACTGAAAGATGAAGAGCTATTATTCAAAATCTTGAAAAAGTTTCCATAAAAACTACAAATAACAAATGAAAGAATATTGCCTACAATAAGCTATAAATTAATTTGGACTTCTTCCTTTTAAGTTCATGCAGACTTAAGAGAACTCTGGGTTTGAGGTAACTAAGAGTTGTATTTAACTTAGCATAACATAATCAGATTTGGCAGCCTGCCTCTATAAATGCCAACATCAAATATTTTCAATTCTTAGGCAAAAGAGAAGCAATTCTTACTAAAAGTCACATACGTAACGGAATGTTAACTTTGCATTAAATAGCAGTATAAATAATAAACTTTATATTAAATAGGATATAAATCTACAGAGCAAGGAATTTTAGAATTCCACCCACTTCTAATGTAACAGTGCTTTATGCTTAGATACATGTCATGTACCTGAAATAATTCAAGTAAATTAAGAATGAGAGATTGGACTTAGAAAAGCCAAAAATGACTCATATTCATCTAAAATATTAAGGTTAAGTTTCTTATTATTTTCTGCATGCTTTGAATATTAAACATTTATATCCATTTAAAATCATTATTTTTAAACAAAATTTTAAATATACCCACAAATGGCCTCTGGGGGAAAAAAGTCATTAGTTGATTTCTTGACAGTTATAATTGACATTTCTAATTTACCAACCTTCCAGAAAACAGAAACTTATAATGAATATACTGATTAGTACTTATTCGGTATTTAAAGTACATATACTTACTCAACAAGCAAATATAACACATTAGTTGTTTTAAAGTTTTAAATATGAACCAAATTTTAAACTATAAATACTTACCTTGAAATACTATAAATTCTAATTCCATCGATTCAGTAAGAACTCTGGCATAGAAAAATAAATACAACTCAAATTCCTTTCTAACCAGAGCTAAATCTTCAGTACAAAATAGGGGGGAAAAATCCTCTGCTGATATCAAAAAGCTCCCCAAATTATCTGTAAACACCAGAGAATTGTATTATTCTTTCTGAATTCTCTCAATTTCTATGTCTCTCTGACATAAGTAGTGTTTTGCCTACAATACTGTATAAATCCATGCAATATACATTTATTTCTGTTGCTTATCTGATTAATTCAAGTTAAAATTCTCATTACTTACCAAGACACTTCAAATTTCTACTAGATGACCATTAGGATGCTATCGGTTTGTAGTTATAAACATAAAAATTAGAAGGGAAGAAGCTAAAATGCAACCACAGTTTCCACGTGTATGACTGCTGGGCTTCGTGTTAAAATGTAGAGTCTATTGTTTTATCTTTCCAACTGACACAGACAACAAACATTCTCTTACCTGTCTGCCAATTTAAAAAATTTCCTCACAACTTTAAAGATTGAATAAGTCATTTTAGAACTTAAAAAAAAGTTATCACACACACACACAAACATACATTCACACATTGTTTTGTTTTTGTTGTTGTTGTTTGTCTTTTAAGAACCCAAATTGGATATTTCCAGGGGATGAGTTAGATAACTATTTGTGTTCAGACTATATTACCATGAATAAGTTCAGATGATCTTTTGAAATACTGGCCTTCCTCATCAGATAATCAAAAAGCATAAGAATTATACAAAATAAAGGGATTAAAATATCTCTTAAGGTAAAAATATGGAATTGGCAACAAACATATCAGTTTTAAATCAAAGCTGCTCATTGAACCAGTCTTCAGTCCATATATCACAATGCCGCACTTTGACTATATTCACCTTCTTTTCTATGACATCAGCAGTCACCAGAGTTGTAAAGTCTGAAAAGCTTCAATAATTTACGTAGTAGATAATTTCTTATAGTCCAAAATTGTTTTTGTGTCCATAGACAATGCTGGTTCTTTGGGTTCTTGCTTAACTTGGTTCACAGAAATGGTACCTTCTGGATTTTCTTCAACTTTAAAACCAAACATAAAAGAAAAACCCTAAAGGTTAATATAATTTTTAACATTATACTGTTTAGAATCATATGAATTTAGAAGCAAAGCAAAAAACAGTAGTTTAGAAAAAGAACCAAGTAATTTAGAAAAGCAGCCAGTATATTTGAGAACTCCGTGCTTCTGACATCTTAATGGTCACTCATATTAAATTCCATCAGTATGCTTTTAATAAGAAAAAAAGAAGAGATCAAGAAAACTATAAAGTTATTCCTTCTAAAGATACCTTGAGAAAAAAAGCAGTTCATAATTTGATACAATATGAGGAATATCTCATACTTAACCGTCTTTAAAAAGATGTGTGAATAAAAGTCAGGAAGCTTCCATTATTTGAAAATGATTTGTTTTGCAAACAGCAGGCATATGTGTTACAAATTCACAGATGTCTTACCATTCCTATATAGTTTCCATATGAGGTCATATATCAAGGAAAATGTTCTCTCCCTAAGAAACTTTACTACATAAGAACTTTAGAAAAAATATGCCACGTGTTAAATCACAGCTCTGACTTAGCTGCATGAACTACGTGTTTGCTTTTCTGACACATTTCAGAGTGCACTTACCCTTCTGATTTCAAAGTACTTACGACCAAATTAATCTAAATGTAGTATACCAGCATCACTATGGTGAACTGGCAGGTGGGATGTCTAAGACCAAACCTTTCTCTCTCTTTCTCAGGAATATCAGTTTTTCAGTTGCTATAGGGAACCATATTGCTCAGAGAAGTGTGTTGAGCACAGCAAATGCTTGTCATATATTGGTGTACTGGTGTTTAACCCAAGCCACAGAGAACACCAGGAGGATTCTGGATTTGAGTGACTCTGAGAATGCATATTCAGGTGAAGCAGTCCCTTAGATTATGATCTAACTTGATAAATCATGCAAGTTCAGATCCAAAGAGGGTCTCCTTCAAAGCATTCTGACTTAGAGCTCCCAGAAATACCTTGGCACGACCCAGAGGGAGGAAGCACGTTAGAATGGAAAGCAGCTTTGTAGGCAGACAGATCTGGGTTTGAATTCTGCTCTGTCACTTACTAGATGTGATCTTTAGGCAATTCCTTAACCTCCCTGAGCCTTAGTTCCCCCATCTGTAGAATAGGGACACCACCAACTATTTCATGCAGTCATTGTGAGGAGTAATTCATATATATTCCTTTCCCGCCCTTCTACCAAACTTCCTCAATATTGACAACTGCCACAGCCCTCTGGATAAGTTTTCTTAAAAGTAATGCTCCCAATAAATTTAAAAGACAATGATTCTTTTCTGGAAGGAACTATCTCACAGTTTTCCTTATCCAGAAGAATGATGGCTAAGAATGAAGAGAAAGTACTTTCTATGTTCTAAGGATAATTTCCATGAAGATTTTTGCTCTTCAAAGCAATCTGCTAATCTTTGTCCACAGCAGTGCCTAATCCAGAATAACCTGTTTAAAAAGAAGTGACACAGCTAGGTCAAGCAGGACTTAACAGACTCTACTACCATGTTGACTGGGTGTATTACAAAGTGAAGATAACAAGGTCTTGGATTAGCATGAAGTACTCACGTCTTACTAGTTACCTTCCAATTTCCGTAGAATTTAACATTTAAGTCCATGACTCAAAAATCTTCCTTTTAATCTTTATATCTGCCTACTTCATTCCATTTTTCTTTGTTCGTGTGTACATAAATTTTTCCAGAATAACTTTACACTAAAATAGTTTTATTTTTTCAATTTCTCTTATTTTTTTCATGTACTCTAACATGACTTTCCCGCTTTCACATCACAGATTTTTCATGTAAAACTAGGCAACTAGGGAATGAATAATTTTGATATGAAGAAAAAAATTAAAAAGTTTAAAAGTTACAAAACTCACGCTGATATCTTTTCCCTTTTTCTCATATTTTTACTTGATTTATTTATATATTATAAATCCAATGAGTAGAAATTCTAGTTTTTTCTGTAATGTGATAGTGATGATAGTCCATGAAGGTTAAAAAAATAAAACCATAAGTAGTTGTAACTTACTGAGAGCTGAGTGGCTGTCTATAATCTGTATTGGAATGTTCTGCACATCTTCCAAGAGAATCCGATGAACACTTCCTTCCAGATTCTCTGCATCCTCAACATCTCCAACTTCTACCAGCTGGTCCATTGCAACCAGATTTTGATCTGGTCCTGGAAGGTTGCCCACAGTAGATGCAACACTACTGCTTTGTGTTAGGCATGAATCTGTCTGAAGACTATGACTCTGACCAAGCAGTGGAGAATTATTATTCATTACAGCACTTCCTACTGAATCCAGAAGTCTTGAAGGACTGGAGGACGGATGGTTATTTACTGATACCGGAGCCGGTGATCCATCAGGAGAGGTGAATCTTGGTTGCAAATGCAAACCCTTTTAAACCAAAAAGAGTTATATCAAAATGTTTGAATTTATTATGTATGATTTTTCTTCCAGGATATAGTACTCTTTTGACAGAAAATTGTCTCAATAAAATAAAAGGGCACAGTTACTAACAAATATTAAGTGAGGACAGAAACAAGGGCCAAAGGAAAAATAATACAACTAAATTTTATTGCATGCATAGTCAACTCAAACTTTTTTGAAACATATTTTAAAAATTATTATCTTAAATCAAGACACAAAAAATTCAGGAAATAATGAAAACATCTTTGATCATTATCATAATTCTACAACAATTCTGCAAAATCCCTAGAAGAAGAAGAGAGGAGATTGAGGAAGAAAGACAAAGGTGTTTGGCTGTTTCACTAGATACCTACCTGCAGTTGTGTAAATATTTTTGGCTCAAATGAGGAAAGCAAGTGGGCTGGCTCTGGAGACAAAGCACTCCTTATCTGATTTGTCTCCACTTTGCTGGTAACTGATTCTCCTGGTGAATTTCCTAAATTATATAGAAAAATAAGCTCTTAAAACAAAATGATTCTTATGGCTTCTAGAATACTACACTTTATTACAACCCTTACTATCAGAATTGGAATAAGAAATAAGGTCAACGACATTCTTTACAGAATTAGAACAAAGAATCCTAAAATTCATATGGGGCAAAAAAAGACCCCAAATTTCTAAAGCAATCCTGAGAAAAAAGAACAAAACGGGAGGCATCACAATCCCTGACTTCAAAACATACTACAAAGCTACAGTAATCAAAACAGCATGGTACTGGTACAAAAACAGGTGCACAGAAGTAAGGTCAACGATTTGGCAAGGACTTTTTAAGAAGTTATCTATCTAGTCCACTATTTCCAGAACCTGGTAGATCATCAAAATCACTTAGAGAACTGAAAAATTCCATCAATTCCTAGGTTCAACCTCCATTAATTTTAATTTAGTATATCTAGGATGGGATGTAGGAAACTATTATTTTTCTTGAAAGATTCTCTATCTGTAACTCTAATCTAGTCCATTGCCCATGCTACAATGCTGGACTACACCTAAACTTCTCTAGAGGTGGGACACCTACTGAGCCCCTTAATTACAAAGACTAAACTTAACTCATCTCTGGCAGCTGTCGTGCCTAGGACAACGCCTGGCATAAAGCGGAACTCAATAGTAACAGTATTAAATTTCTTTCAATAACTCACTTTGGAAAATATAAAAGTAAAAAGCTCTGTTTTCTTAATTATCTCAATGTTTAAAGTAATTGTCCTTAGGGAATTTGAGTCCTTCTCAAGTAATTCTTATGTTAACCCAAATATATTAATCTCTCTGAGTCAATCAAAAACCAATTAACAACAATTATTTATTGCTTCCATACCATAACTGAGTAATTTTTTAAAATGGCCCTGGTATCAGATAAGGATGGATTTAAGTGCTGGCTTTTCTCTGCAACCTTAAACATGCTATTTAACTTGGTTTCTACACTTCAGTCTCCTCACCTGTCAAATCAGAATAAGAGCCTCTTCCTCGAAGGACCACTAAGAGGATTAAACAGCACTCTTATGTTTCTTGGTTTCTTAATTTCTAATTGTCTCTACTTGACACTGCTGCAGTCGCCCACTACTGCGGCCATACTCTGGACTACTCTAAATCTAAAATCTCTAATCCAAACATCCCCTCTCTGATCACAGCCTCTCACTCTCCCAGGGATTTTGGTCAGGTACTCCACGACAGCTGTTCTTCAACCTCACCTGAACCTCCAGTCAGTGGATCTCTCAGTTTTCTTCAGATCCATCAATCTCTTCCTTAATAAAATTCTCTCCCTATGCAGCTTAGAGTCCTGAGTTTATCATTTCAGTCACTCTCTTGCAAATACCTTAAACTCCCTGTCTCTGTGTCCTTTGGTCATACCTCCCTGGTAAAATCCTAATTCTGCATGAAAATGGCTTCCAGTGCCTACACACGGGAAGCTGAATGATGCTGGAGAAGAAACTCGCTGCTACTGCTTTTACCAATTCATGATCGTCAGCTTCTACAGGACCTTCACCTGTACCTGACAACCTTACAGTGTTTCTCTCACTCTGTATTAGGGATGATACCTAATCTCCATTTTCCTCAAATCTTGGCCACCCTTAGAGATCTTAGCTCATTCTTAGCACTCTTATTTAAAGAGTAAAGAGAAGCTATCAGATAGAAATTTTCTCAACTTCTCATCACCAAAGCTATCAAGTTCCTTCATCTTCATCTATCTCTGCAGGTCTCTCCTGTCTTAAAATACCTTACTTCAACCCCTCAACCATGCTCCCTTCACAGCAAACTTCTTGAAAAAGTGGTCCACATTGTCTCCACTTCTTCATTCATCTCCCATCCACTCTTTGCCCACAATATGGCTTCCTCCCAATCCACTCCACTGAAATGGCTCTGATACTCAAGCTTTCCAAATCTGATCTCATGATCTTTTCTTTTCTCCCCGCTGCCACCAGCGATAGCCTATTCTTTTTTTATTTACTTATTTTTGAGGAAGATTAGCCCTGAGCTAACTACTGCCAATCCTCCTCTTTGTGCTGAGGAAGACTGGCCCTGAGCTAACATCCCTGCCCATCTTCCTCTACTTTATACATGGGATGCCTATCACAGCATGGCTTTTGCCAAGTGGTGCCATGTCCGCACCCGGGATCCAAACCGGCAAACCCCGGGCTGCTGAGAAGCGGAACGTGTGCACTTAACTGCTGTGTCACCGGGCCGGCCCCAGCAACAGCCTATTCTTATGCCAGTGTTGCTGAGCTCAGTAAATGCCACTATCAGTCAATTGCTCATGGAAGAAACTCAGGAATCAACCCAGATCATTCCCACTCTTTTACCTCCCACTTTTGGTTATTCAATCAATAACCAAGGCCTTTGAATTCTACTTTTTAAATAACCCTTAAATCCGGCCAATTCTAGTATAATTGCCACCAACTATAGTTAAACCACTATCACCATTCATTTGGACAGCTGAAGCAGTCTCCTAAACTGTTTTGCTTATCCAGTTTTATCTCTAAGTATTGTCTACGCTTAAATCACACTAGCTTTCTTAAGTTCCTTGACCATGACAAGCTCTTGCTTGCTTAGCCTTTGAACATGCTATTCCTTTGATTGCCAAATTCCTATTAATTCTTCAGTTCTTAGTTTAAAAGTCACTTTCTCAAGAGTCCCTTCCCTACTCCCTGGACTAAATTATATGTCTCTATCACTATTCCCATGCAATTCTGCACAACTTTCATGGCACTTTCCATAATAGTAACTAATTAGAATATATTTGTCTACTGTCTTTTTCTCTTGCTAAGCTTTAAATTCAATGAAGCAGGAAACTTCCCTGTTCTTTTTATGCTCTGCATTTATCACAGTAAGTAAAATATGTGCAGAACAAATGAATAATGCTAAAATATTTGAAAGTTATTCTGTAGGCAAAGTGACTCTTAAAGGTTAGTAAGCTGAAGAATAAAGAAATAATTGTACTGTACATAGTTATTCATTAATTTATTCTAAAGCATTTATTTATTTTTTAAAGGCTTAGGTTTATTTTTTATTTTTATTTTTTTGTGAGGAAGATTGGCCCTGAGCTAACATCTGTGCCAATCCTCCTCTATTTTGTATGTGGGACACTGCCACAGCATGGCATGATGAGTGGTGTGTACGTCCACACTTGGATCCAAACCCACAAACCCCAGGCCGCCAAAGCGGAGCACACAAACTTAACCACTACACCACCAAGCTGGCCCTCTAAAGCATTTATTTAGGTGTTAACTTTTTAGCAGGCATTATGCTAGGAAGTAGGTATATTAATTTGAATAAAATACAATCCTAGTCTCCGAGGAGCTCAAATCGTAATGAAAGATACAGATGCGTACACAAAAGGATACCAAGTTAAACGCAGGAGTAAATACAAAAGAGTAAACATCTAACATTATATGAGGGAAGTAAAGAGAACACTTAACGTCAAGAGACTGAGATTGCCATTGGAGCAGTGAGAGGAGTCTGCCGTGTAGAAAAGGAGAAAAGACACTTCCAGAAGAGAAATCAAAAGGGCTGAAATAAGCTTGGAATATGGAGAGAACATAGGAATAAGAAGGTATGAGAAAAAGCAAACCATACAAAATGGACAATAGTTTCCTGATCAAGGCATCTTAGGGTTATTACTAGTGGAACCAGCCTAGCTTTACAGTAAACTGTGCTAGTAATCAGACTCAAAATTTCAATCATAAAGAAGCAAAAAAGCTGATTATAGGAGGAAATTTAAACAGCTGGAATTATTTTGAAGAATCCTAACATAGTTGCTCTTGCCTCTTTGGGCCAACGTTGCCTTATCTATAAAATTTGATCAGGTGAGATAATATTTAAATGTCTTCCAGTTTCAACACTTTGATTTCATATTTTAAAGGTATTCAAGATAACCTACCTTCTGCAAATGTAACTGTCACAGTTTCTCTGAGAATATTCCCGCTATCTGTAGTCCATTGAAGCTGAAATGGGAACATTTATTTCAGTAAAAATGATAAAGTACCTATGCTGAAAAATATTTTAAAACATCAATATAACTGTCATATTTTATTCAGTCCTAGTATAATTGTGCTTTGTTCTGTAATACTCTCTTCACTTGTTCATATTCTCAAGCCCTAAGATACTTCACCATCCAAATACATTAGCTTCCCAAGTTCAGATAGCAAGAATTTGGATATTAAGTGTCCATGGCGAGGACCATTGCTAACCAAATCTGTTTCAGTTTCTGAATTTTGGATAGGGAATAATTAAGAGTTTTGGATAGCACAGAATAGTAGCTCTAGCTTAAAAAAAATCTGAATTTATTCAGTTACTGAATTTGGATAGTAAAAATCTGGAAAGCAAAGAATATTACTACTAAGATTTTAATGCTGTAATCACTACCTGCATCATAATTAGTAGTTCCTGGGTAATTATACTAATCTCTTCAGAGTAGCCAAAATTTTCATAGAAATGACCAATATTCAGCGGGAAACTACAGTATCACAGTATAAGGTAAAATTGATACACACAGATGGCATATGGAACCAACATCAAGTTGTATAGTCAAGTCTGAACTATTCTACTTAAACTTGCCAATCTATTTTTAAAAGAGGGGAGATATGTATAGTATGTACTCAGTGTCTGTTAAATGGATAAGATATACTTTTTACAGAGATAAACTATGTTGATTTTTAAATGAAGATTACTATTGTCATTATAGTCAGAGTTAGAATTCACTGATTTTTCTTCTTGTGAGAGTAATAAAAAAAATTTTAGTCAAATAATCATCTAAGAGTTCATAGCGTTTACATTTTAAGAAAAAGATACTCCTATTTTTTCTTATATCACAGTTATTTACATGACCTAATAGCAACTATCCCTAACAGCAACCATTAGGCCCTATTAGGCCAGAAGCTAAGAAAGATTCTGTAACAAAACAAGGAAATACAGTTGTAATCATACCGTTGCTGGAATAATCTCTGAGTTATATACACTATCTCCATTTCTCAAGGATTTCTGTACCTCATGGATGTGATTTTTTATGTCATTTACAGTTGGAAAAAAGGATAAATTATGTCTTTCAGGTACCTCATCAGGTTTGAACAGTTCCCTTTCCACAAATTTTCTGTGGAGAATATAAAATAGAATAACATAAACAATCTAGCAATCTACTTTACATCAAAGGAGAGAAAAAAGTTCTCTTTTATCATAAACCTCTGTAAAGCAAGGTTTACAGCTTTATAAGTAATTTCTATTTTTCTATTTTTAATTTTTTCCATACATGAGATGATAGAATTCATGAAGATCAAAGAAATGTAATATTTTCATTGGTTAAACACCTGTATATCTTAGAGTGAGCTTTGACATTTTTATGAATTTAAAGGAATCACTGTTTTCAACGTAATAAGTTTTTGAATGCTCATTACGTTAGGCCCTGGACTGAACACTTCACATCAAACATCTCCTTTAACCCTTACTATAATCTTGGGAGGTGGGTACAATTATCACTCCCACTTTACAGATGAGGGAACTGAGGGCTGCAGAAGTTAAATGATTTGCCCAAAATTATACACCTACTTAGGAAAGAAGAGAGCTTGGTCCTATACCCCAGTTACATGCATAGACATCATGTTATATTGCTTCCAAAAGGCATCAATTATCATATGAAATATTATCTGCTTGAATTTTACAAGTAGATGAAAGAGAACATACATAGAAGGTAGCACTGCCAAATAAGCATATAAAAAATAAATACATTTAAAAAATGACGAAGTTCAACATATATATGCTTTGTGCATTACAGTGGTAGACCACACTGCAGAGCTGTACTAGACCTCTGTTCTTGGGATTCAAGTTTAGTAAAGAGTGGATGGCTTTACCAAACTTTGGCTCTGTTCTAAAAATGCCAAAGAAAGCTGTTAAATAGAAAAGTCATGTATTAATTAATACATAATCCTAGGAAATACTCATTGTGTTATTCAGATCAGACTACATAATAACCAGTAGGAACAAGGTCAGTTTAGTACCAGCAATCCTGGTGAAGAGGACAGGCTACAGAGTTAGACCTAGATTTCAGATCTGCCTCTGCTTCTCAAGCTAGTTATTTAACCACTCTGGACTCTCTATTTTCTCATCTGCAGAATGGGGATAAATATACTGACTTCATAAAGCTATAAGAATAAATGAGATTGTGCATATAATGTGCTTAGCACAATACTTGGCACACACATAGTGCGTGCCACATAATAATAATAATCATTATTATATCTTGAGTATCAATAAAATTAGACCAGAGTGCTATATATAAAATTTCATTAGACAATGAACTAACCATATTCTTTCATTGTAATAAAATTTAATTGCATTTCAAATAGCTTAAAATAAGTCTCTTGGCCTCGGTTTTAAAATCTTTGGTTCTACAAAGGTTTTTTTTCTGGGTATGCAGTATATAATTCAATTCATGTATCATTTAGAAATAATCCAATTTGCCAAATCTGAATATGGAATGTCTCAAGTGAGTAATTTGAATCACTACTCATTGCTTGCCAAGCATCTGCTGGAAAATGATGAGTTCATAAATAAGATTATTTTAGTATTTAATAAACCATATTCCTTATCTACTCTGATAGTATATATCTTGCAAAATGTATATAACGTTAAGTGTATTATTTAAACCAAAAAACAAAAATGAAAAATGTAAAAAAAATGTGTTTCTACTGTACCTTAGCTGTTTCCTTACTGCATACACTTGTTCTATTCCCTGTGACACTAATTCTTGAATCTTACGTGCTACTTGAGGATGCAGACGTGAGGGCAATGCACAATTCTCGTCTCTAACTGCACTGTCCTCTTCTTCAAGAGAAGACATAGGAAAAGGGGAAGGTGACAGAGGGAGGCAAGGAGCCTCTAATTCGTGATACTGATGAGCCTGCTGGGTGGGTAACTGTACATACCACCTGGCAAGAGAAAACATTTAAAATTATATTACTAGACAAAGGCAAGAATCACAGTTAATTATGTTAATACCCATCAAGATAAGAAATAATCTTTTAAGAAAAAATTATATATGATTGCATCATATTAAATATAAATAAAATTTTGAAAATAATAAATTAAACATAAATAAAATAAATATAAATAAAATTTAAAATGTCCTTTGCTTAACTCTTCTAAGAGTGGCTTTATACTCAATTAAATAAAAATATTTATTAAACATTTACAGATTTTTCTTTGCCCTAAAGTTAGAGGGTGCAGGATTTAAGTACATATGAAAATGGTATTTTAAATTTCATATTAAGTAAATTTTGCCTCAAAGTAATGAGACTTCTTTTGTTTGTTTTTTTGCTGAGGAAGATTAGCCCTGAGCTAACATCTGTGCCAATCTCCCTCTATTTTATATGTGGGTCGCCACCTCAGCATGGCTGATAAGTGGTGTAGGTCTGCAGCCAGATCCAAACCCAGGAACCCAGGCTGCTGACGTGGAGCGTGCAAACTCAACCACTGCCACAGGCTGGCCCTGTAATGAGACTTTTGAAATCATTTTCTTTGAATTGTGCATTTTCCCATTCTTCTACCATTTTGTACCCAGATTACAACTTCTGTGTTGCACCTATAATTCTTTAACCAAAGACAGGATATAATTCAGAGCCAGTTAGGACTGAGTTATGTGGGAGGATCTTCTTCAACAGGAGCTCAACCTGTTGCCTCTTCTGCACTGCAGCTCCTGTTGCCCCAACAAGCAAGGGAACCAACTAAAAGGTGAACCCAGGTCTCTCGCATAGCAGTGCAGTACAAAAAACAGATGCTAGGAGAATGAACTGATCTGGGAGGAAACTGTTTTAATTGATATTTGTGTACAAAATGCTTGCAATGACTGGTATTGCATGACATGGAGCCTACTCAAAAATTATACACAATGTTCTCCAAACTGAAGGATCTAATTATTGACTCCATTCATTTTTCATATATCGGAAACATTTTTTCAAGATCACACAAAAACTATATTCCATAAACTTAACTCCATTATACAGCTGCAAATTCTTCACATGGACTCACACACAAAGGAAAGTAAGAAAGCTAATTTTTTTTAATTTAAAATCTGAAGCATAAAAGATATAAAATGGAATTTTATGTAGGGCTTAGAATTTATTTCTAGCTGCCATAAGTAATCAAAGATGGGTTTAAAACATATACAGGTGGGGCTAGCCCTGTGGCCGAGTGGTTAAGTTTGTGCGCTCCACTTTGGCAGCCCAGGGTCTTGCCACTTCAGATCCTGAGTGCAGACCAAGCACCACTCATCAAGCCATGCTGAGGCTGTGTCCACATAGCACAGCCAGAAGGACCTACAGCTAGAATATACAGCTATGTACTGGGGGGCTTTGGGGGGAGAGGAGGAGGAGGAGGAGAGGGAGGAGGGGGAGGGGGATGAGGAGGAGAAGAAGAAGAGAAGAAGAAGAAAACAGAAGATTGGCAACAGATATTACCTCAGGTGTCAATCTTTAAAAACATATATATATTCACATACATATACACACACAGAGGCAAGTTTGGCTTTTAATAAGTGTCTGAAACAAAGTACTAAACATATAATGAACTGTGTTGCTAAATATATATTTGTTGTTTTGGGAAAAAATTTCCATATGGTATAAAGAATTTTTGGGTCAAAATTATCCACAACATTTGGCTGATAAGCTCAATGGCTTATTCAGTGGCAAATCATGTTAATACTTAGGATACCACTAATGAGACATCTACCTTATAAAAACCATTTCTTAATGAAATAATTGGAAGATATAATTATAATTTCTCTTACAGGAAAAATTTTTGCAAATGGAGATAATTAACTTGTAAAATAAAAGAACTATATAAATGGCATACCTAAGAACACCACCAGCATCCACCAAATTCTTCTTTAGCATATTAAAGGCTTTTTCCTGCTCCATTCGGATTATTTTCTTATCAATTTTAGGGTCTGTAGGAACTTTATATTCAGGAAACTTCTGCACCTTTTTAATGTAAATCCTTTTTATAAGAAAAAGAAGAATTTGTTTCACTATATTATAATCTCAAGAAATCTAATTTATCAACCAGAAGTTTAAGCATTAAAGTTTAGAGAAAATTCAAATAATCTAGAAAGCATTCAGAGGATTATGTGAAAGATATGCCAAATTCTCAGTGCATAATTAGCAAATTAACAAAAATCATGAATTCAGTAAAAATACGTAAATATTTATGGATATTAACTTTTTTTCTGGATTTGCCTCTGCTCTATTCTCCTGGAAGCCATAAACCTCATGCCTGGATTACTTTAGTAGCCTCCTTCTGGGTCTCTGGGCCTCCACTCTTTCATTACTTAAATCCACTTGATACATCAATGCCACAATCTTTGTTCATATTTATAGTTCTTTGTTGAAGAATCTACCTGCTCTTTAATCAAGTATGAACTTCTTGGCAGCATTCAAAGCATTCCATATGATTCTAGCTTATTTACCTAATCTTACTTTCAATTACTGCAAGTATAAAATTGCTTTTCCTGTGAAGTTTATCATCTTAATATGTTCCTTCCTCCTCTGATACCAAATATACAATCTCACTATATCTTTATTTATATAGGTCTCCTGGCCTCAATATCTGCCAATTGTCTACCTCTCCAAATTCAATCTAAATTTCATCATCCAGGCCAAGCTGGACTTTCTTTCCTGTTAATGAGTCTGCATGGATATATTCCTTTCTGAAGACAGTCAGCTGATCCACACATTTGACACTATACACTATACTCTTATGTGCTCTAATAGTTTTCTGTTTCTTGATCTACTCCAACAATATTTTAAGCTCCCTGTGATTAAGCAAAATCTTATACCTCTTTTAGTCTCCCTCCTTCCCATGGCACCCAGTGAAGCTGCTGGGCACAGAGCAGACACTCAAAAGTACTTGTAGAATGATAGAGAGAATGAAATCATTTCTTTGCATACAGAGATTTTTCTCTCAAGTTATACCTAAAGTTTTAGATTTATTATATTCCAAAAGCAATTGAAAGTTTTGTTTCATGGTCAGGTTCAAATATTGTTTAAAGTTAACATTATCAAATTGAACACGAAAAGCCTTCTGAACTGGCTTTAAAAACTTCTTAAGAATGCTGAGATTTATGAAATGAGATAGGATGCTAAAATAAAATGTTTCGAACATCAACTAAATCCAACCTTTACATGTTATCTTTTTAAATTTTGTTTTATCTGATAATTTAAAACACTCTGAATGTCTGAAAAAAGAATATTAGTTAAGGACATTATAAAAATCTTTTATTTGTTCACATCTTTCATTGTGATCCAGAGCACTGACTACTCTGTAGTCCTATTCTATCTAAAACTTACTATGTTGGTCTCATACATTGCTGGTATAAATATAATTGGCAAAATATCTCTAAAAATCAACTTTGCAATACCTGTCAACATTTAAAAAGAATATAACCTTTGCCCTAGCAATTTCATTGCAAGGAATAATCCTATTGATACACTAGCACAAGTGTACAAATAGGTACAATGTTATTAACTGCAGCTGTGTATATAATAATAAAGAATCCTTTTCAGAGCCTACATGTCCATCATTAGAGGACTAGTTAAGTAAATGATAATTCATCTATAAATGGAATATTATATGGCTATTAAAAACAAGGAACCATGAAACTAACATATGTCAATTATATATCAATTTTTAAAGTAAATAAATAAATAAAAACAAGGAACCAGTGCTTTTATGTACAGATATGGAGCCAGCTTTGAGAGATATTGGGAATGAAGAAAAAAGCAAAAGATAAAGTAGTATATGTCATTATATTCACACCAGTATGAAGCAGAATAGCTTGCAGTTAATAAGGACAAAAGGCATTCCAAGTGGAAATAAATCAATGTGAATTCATAGCAGGAAAGAAGGTAGACCACTACCTAACTTTAAGGAAAGTATTAGTAAGCTTTACTGAGATCTTCAACATTTATGAGGGTAAAGGAGGACATACATATGTATATATATATGCATGTACACAGAATATCTTTGGAAGGTTAGTCAAGAAACCCTAGTAAGACTTGCTGCCTTAGAGAGGGACATAGGGAGCAGGGGTAAGAGAAAACTCAGATTTCACGTATACTTTTTGGTGCTGTTTAAACTTAATAAAAATGTGCATATTAGCTATTCAAAAATCAGTACTTAATAAAAAGAAATAAAAGAAAATAAAGCTTACCGGGCTGGACAAGTGGCTTTGTAGAGCTGACAAGACCTGCTTTCCTGCTCACTGATTTTTTTTAACTGGAAACCTTTTCTCCTTGGCCCATACTGACACTCCATTACCACGGCTCTACTCCCTGTGGGCCCAAACCAACTATTGATATTAATTCAAGTATCCACCTGTTCTGAATACTAGATTGAAAACAACTTGCTGGCGGAAATGTCAAAATCTATACTTCCAGTTACACAACTTTAAGGAAAGAAAACATCGGTAAGTCTTACTAAGATGTACAAACACATACATTTAAAGGTATATTGTAATATTTACCAAATGTACCACATTATGGTAAGGAAATTGGCAAATACCACATTTACTGAACATCAATTGATATTTATATACATATGATTTTAATGATAAAATTTACCACTTTATAAACAGAATTTAGCAAATCCTAAATTTGTTAATAAATATTAGAGTCATTTAAAATTTTATTATTATTCTTTCCTTTGAGGGAGATTGGCCCTGAGCCAACATCCGCTGCCAATCCTCTTCTTTTTGCTAAGGAAGATTGGTCCTGAGCTAACATCTCTCCCCATCTTCCTCTGTTTTATATGTGGGACACCTGCCACATCATGGCTTAGGTGCTAGGGCCACGCCCAGGATCTGAACCTGCAAACCCTGGGCCTCCAAAGCAGAGTGCACAAACTTAACTGCTGCACCACCAGGTCGGCCCCAAAATTTTATTTCTTTTTTTCCTTTTTTCCCTTTTTTTAATTTTCTATTTTTTTTAAGAATTGGCACCTGAGCTAACAACTGTTGCCAATCTTCTTTTTTTTTTTTTGCTTTTTTCTCCCCAAATCCCCCCCCAGTATTTAGCTGTACATTATTTTTAGTTGTGGTCCTTCTAGTTGTGGCACATGGGATGCCACCTCAACATGGCCTGATGAGTGTTGCCATGTCCGTGCCCAGGATCCGAACCCTGGGCCATCAAAGTGGAGCGCACAAACTTAACCACTCGGCCATGGGGCCAGCCCCTATTTCTTTTTATAGTTATTCATTTCCTTATTTCTATTTGGGCTGTTAGATAATGTGATAACCAGCTTCTAAGATGGCCCCCAATGATCCCTGCCTCCTAGTACTTATGTCCTTGTATAATTCCCTCCCCTTGAACATGGGCTGGACTCATTAACTTACTCCTAATGAATATGGCAGAGGTGACAGGATGCTATTTTTGATATTAGGTTATAAAAAGACTGTGACTTCTGTCTTGGGTACTCTCTCACTCTTGCCTGGACTGCTCTCTGGGTGAAATCAGCTGTCATGTGGTGAGGCAGCTCTGTGGAGAGGCCCACAGGACAGGAATAAGGCCTGCCAGCAGCCCCATGAGTGAGCTTGGGTACTCTCTCACTCTTGCCTGGACTGCTCTCTGGGTGAAATCAGCTGTCATGTGGTGAGGCAGCTCTGTGCAGAGGCCCACAGGACAGGAATAAGGCCTGCCAGCAGCCCCATGAGTGAGCTTGGGTACTCTCTCACTCTTGCCTGGACTGCTCTCTGGGTGAAATCAGCTGTCATGTGGTGAGGCAGCTCTGTGGAGAGGCCCACAGGACAGGAATAAGGCCTGCCAGCAGCCCCGTGAGTGAGCTTGGGTACTCTCTCACTCTTGCCTGGACTGCTCTCTGGGTGAAATCAGCTGTCATGTGGTGAGGCAGCTCTGTGGAGAGGCCCACAGGACAGGAGTAAGGCCCGCCAGCAGCCCCGTGAGTGAGCTTGGGTACTCTCTCACTCTTGCCTGGACTGCTCTCTGGGTGAAATCAGCTGTCATGTGGTGAGGCAGCTCTGTGCAGAGGCCCACAGGACAGGAATAAGGCCTGCCAGCAGCCCCGTGAGTGAGCTTGGGTACTCTCTCACTCTTGCCTGGACTGCTCTCTGGGTGAAATCAGCTGTCATGTGGTGAGGCAGCTCTGTGCAGAGGCCCACAGGACAGGAGTAAGGCCTGCCAGCAGCCCCGTGAGTGAGCTTGGGTACTCTCTTACTCTTGCCTGGACTGCTCTCTGGGTGAAATCAGCTGTCATGTGGTGAGGCAGCTCTGTGCAGAGGCCCACAGGACAGGAGTAAGGCCTGCCAGCAGCCCCGTGAGTGAGCTTGGCAGCAGACCCTCTCCCAGTCAAGCTGTGCGATGAGTGCAGTCCAGTCACCTTACTTGCAGTCTTGCGAGAGAACCTGAGGCAGAGCCACCTTGCTAAGCTGCTCTGGGATTCCTGACCCACAGAAACTGTGAGATAATAAAAGTCTGTTGTTTTCAGCCACCAAGGTTAGGGCAATTCGTTACATAGCAATGCATAATACAAGTAAGTAGATGTGAAAACTATGCAGTTTAAGATTTTAGTTGGATACCCTACTCTACGTAGGGTGTAGCAAACTTTTAAAATATGAAACCAAAAGCACTGTAATCACAAATAAAAATGTTAATAAAACTGGCATTAAAATTTAAAACTTCTACTTAAAAGACACTATGAAAAAAGGTAAAAGGTGGGGCCGGCCCAGCGGTGCAAGTTAAGTGCACACGTTCCGCCTTGGCGGCCCAGGGTTTGCCAGTTCGGATCCCAGGTGCGGACATGGCACCGCTTGGCACGCCAAGCTCTCGTAGGCGTCCCACATGTAAAGTAGAAGAAGATGGACATGGATGTTAGCTCAGGGCCAGCCTTCCTCAGCAAAAAGAGGAGGATTGGCAGCAGATGTTAGCTCAGGGCTAATCTCCCTCAAAAAAAAAAAAAAAGGAACAGGAAAATAACAGTTTGAGAAACAGTATTTTATAATACATATAACAAAGAACTAATACGCAGAATATAAAGAACCATAAATAATTTTTTAAATTTAAAATTAAAAAAACAAACAGAAAAATGGGAAAGGCTATGAAGAGACAATTCAGAAAGAAAAAAAGGATATTAAATGAACAAATAAAAAGATGTTCCACTTCACTAGTAAACAGGGAAATGCAAATTAAAACAATAGCAAAATACTATCTCACACTTTTCAGACTGGCAAAAACAAAAAAAATACAATACTCTAAAACCGAATCCACTGATTAATCTTAACACCACAAAAAGGTGTTAATGCACAGGTAGCAATAAGAAGGACACAGTGCACCTACGGAGTATTCTTGCAAAACACCTTAGTGAAGATTTAATCTTCATTTAATCAAGCCTCTAGATCTAAGAGTTTACAGGAAATACAGGAGATAAAAGGACATGGTAAACTACACCACAGAGAAGGAATCTGCAAAATCCAGGATCTGGCAAACTCTAGAGGACAAACTACCTGGGGAAAGAGGAGAGAAATTTCTAGATGAAATTTAAGAGAGATGTTAATCAAATGTAACCCGTGAACTTTGTTTCGATGTGAATTTGAACGGACCTGTGGAAAAAGAGTTAGAAGTGGAGAAATGTGAACACTGGACATTTTATGACATTAAGAAATTACTGTTAATTCTTTTAAAGTGTGATAATGGGATTCTCATTCTTCATATGTATAAATGTATATAAAGAGTCCTTATCTTTTGGAGATATACTTTAGTATATACTGTATACTTAAGTAATTATAGATGAAATGATATGCTATGGGGAATTTGCTGTACAATCTTCTTGGGGTGGGGAGGGAGGTGGGGGCAAGGGTATAAATGAGACAAGACTGACCATATGCTGACAGGTGTTGAAGCTGGATAATCACATGGAGTCACGGAATTTCATATACTATTCCCTCTACTTTGATATACATATGAAAATTTCCCTGATACAAAGATTTTTAAAAGTCTGACAATGCTAACTCACAGAGTGAATGTGAGAAAGGTAAATTTTCATACGTTACTGAAAGGAGTAAAAGTTGGTATAAGTCATCAGTCTTTCACGTACGATTCTGAAATCTAAAGAGCTCAGAAAATAAAATTTTTTGGAACTTATTTGGATACAAAACCTGAGGCTATTTATAGTCCTTATTTATTTTATATACGAGGTTATTTATAGTCTTTATTTATTCCTCTTGGTGTGACTATCCATAAAGTATTGTGATATTGCCTATAGAATACTTGCTAGTAGTATTTTACAATATTACCATATTAGATTCCAAGAATTCAGAATTCTGAAAGACATCTGGCTAAAAAAATTTCAGAGAAGAGATTTTGGACACGTACAACTACTCTAGAGAGCAATTTAAAATAATCTTGTAAAGATGAAATGGGCATACCTCACAACTCAGCAATTCTACTTTAATGCATACACTCTAGAAAAACCAATTGTATCTTTTCAACAGAAAACGTATATTGTGGAGCTCTGACTATAGCATTCTTTGTAAAATTGAAAAGTTGGAAACAACCTAAATGATTGTTAGTAGAAAAATAACTGCGGTTTGGTATATGCTGGACTGTTATACAATAGTTAAATTGAATTAACTAGGATCTATAAGTATCAATATGGACAGATCCCCAAAAATAAGGGTGAGTGAAAAATTTACATAACAATGTCTACAGTTTACTATTTATGTATATTTTAAAATATCTGAAACAATAAAATATATTTTTATAAATACAAATATGTATGTTAAAGTATAAAAATATAGACTGGAAAGATAGTGGCTGCATGTGGAGAGTTAAGAATGGGATTAGAACTAGGGTCGGGAAAAACACTGCATTTCTTTTATAGGATATTGATGAAACCTCGGCAGAGATGGTTATATTTATCTCATCTTCCTCTAAGTATTTCTCTTTACCCTCAGAGGCACAGGATGAGGCTGCAGCTCTTCCAGCTGAACCAGTACCCCACAGTCCTGAAATAAATCACTGATGTTTAGGTTCTTTGGGGTTGATTAGTTCTAGGGTGAATCTCTGGGAATAGTTTGAAACTCTACTGCTTTAGTAAATGCTAGCCCAGTGTTTGAGAATACTGTACGTAACACAGCTGATGCTTGAGAACCCTAATATTAGAATTCTATATAATAACTCCAAATCATATACAAATTCTACACAGCAACTCTAGAGTCATAAGCCATACAAAATGAACAAAAATTTTTCCCCCAAGATAAATCAAGAAACAAGGAGAGAATATCTAGATTAGATGAAAAAAAAAACCCAACAGATATACAGTTTAAATTAATAAAATGGCTCTATTGTTTAATTTTTATTAAATAGGTCTACTTGGAATTTCAATATTATTTTCTATTTATTAGCATAATATCTAAAGAAAGCATTATTTATTTACACTAACATATTAAAATGCAATTTTATGAGATAAAATAATTGGTTATATTTACTATAAGTTTTCTTTTTAATTTGATATGTATTTTCACCAATTAACATTCAGTTGTCATCTACCAAAATGGAAATGTACCACCTTAGGAAACTATACTTTCACAATGGATCACAGCTGCTGCTGAATCTTTTAAAATAATTCTTTTAAAAAGTACCTGCATTGACAAACGGGATTCCATCATATGGGACATACTGAGATTTCCACATCAAGCGTGTAGCCGGCTTGGCTGGGCTCGGAGATTGGCGGGTCCCCCAAACACTCTGTGTTTGCTGCTTGTGAAATGTTAGGACACTTTCCAATTCAGTCTCACTTATACAGTAGCCACGATATGAATCTCCAATTTTCTGCATGTAGTAGAAATTAAACAACAAAATTATCAGCAAATATGTTTCATTGTACAAAAAATGTAATGCAGTGGTTGTCCAAGATGAAAGACTCATCAGCTTTCAAAACAGAATGTCATGTCTCCCTTCAGATCAATAGTGTATTACAATCAGTGAGTCTGATCTGAATTCAACCAGCATCACCAAAAAGGAATTGTCCAGGTATTTGTTAGAGAATACATAACGCCAAAGTCACTGCCACACTATCTTTATCAAAACCTTCTTTGAGAGGAATAGTATTTAGGGAGGATAGCTTCAAGATCATATCATGTAACCATTCTTCCAGATATTTAAAATTCTACTCCTGGATCCAACCAGATCAGCATAAAACTAGGCACAAAGCACTGGTTCCCTGTGGGAGATCTTTTACGGAAATTGATTTTGATATGATGCCATAAGTCTATTTGAAAACCTATGAAAATTGTGATGATATCTCCTAGAAAAATGATGTCAAAGAATTTTACCATTTTATCAAGATTCTTTTTATGAGGATCCTTCTCTGAAATAAATTCCTGCCTGGCCCTAGTATCAAAAATAGTTAACAGTTTTCTTTTATCTTATAGAAATTAGCATAATTAATTTTATCTAATGGACACAGAATTTAGTAACTAACTAGGTTTCCCCTTTTGAGATGTAGATGCTTAGATTATGGACAAGACACACATTCACATCCATACAGTTCATTAAGATACACATCTCTTACTTTCCTTCTACGGTTCCATTCTTGTTTTTCTTTATTCTTTAGCTTCTCTTTTAATTTCCACCTTGCTAAGATATTTTATGTATTTTTGTAAGCTGTCTTAAATTCCTTTTGAAACAAGGCAAGGTATAAATAAATCATGTAAGTAAATTGATATTATCTACCCACAACTATGTGAGTATCCCTTAACTAGAGGAGAAGCTTTTTCTACACCAACAGAGATAATCTGTTAACTGTGATCCCTTACGTTGCAAGGCATACAGACCTAGAACTGACTCCATGCACTGTAGGTAAAACTTAAAATAATCATTAGATATTTACAGAAAAGATATATAGGACTTACAATGGAATTTGAAGACTAGTTAGAAAGGTAAGTAGAAAAAAAAATAATATATTAGGAAATGGAGATAAAAAAGAGCGAAAGCAGAGATAAGGGAAGATTCTGAAGTATTTGTAGGAAGTAAGAAGACTAGGCTAACAGAAATGAAAGTCCAGTTGCAGAAAAGTAGGGATAGGTAGGACAAGATTTAGTGACACCAGGTCCTGGAAGACCTTGAACGCTAGCTACAATGACTAAGTGATGTGGAAACAACACTGAACCTAGAGGGCAGCGAGAAAAGACAACGAAAGCAATGTTTAAAGACAAGCAGTTTTAGAAAACTAAACGGTAAGGAGCCAAAGAGATTAGAAGGAAGGGCGTTACTATAATCAAGTTCAAGATAACAAAAGGTCTGTGGAAGAGGAGCCCCTGCCCCTGAAAAAGAGAGACTTTAAAGGAAAAACTGAAATAATCAGGTGACTCCCTGAATATGGGAAAGGAAGAAATTAGTCTAAAATGTTGTGTCCGGGTGTCTAAGAAAATGCTATTTGTCATTACACGGACAAGGAATTTAGGAAGCAGAGCCAGTTGTGTTCAGGATACATTCTGTGTAGGATATGGTGAATAAGAGGTGAAACCAAGTAAAGCTTCAAGTACTCTAAGTAGCTGGAGATCTGGGACAAGAGCAAGGGCACAATTACAGAACTGGTGATCTAGATTTGGGAATCGTTTTTATAAAAGCAATAGTTGAAATTAAATAAAGTTGATGAGCTCTCCAAGGGACAAAACGTAGAGAAATAAAATCAGGTCAAACTGTGAACCTTGAAGAATTTCCACGGAGAATATGAAAAGAAATAAGTGCAAGCAGAGAAAGAGAAGGAATGGTCAAAAGATAAAAAGTAGAGAAACACGGTAGTGAAGTTTCATGAAGACAAGGGAAAAGAGTTTCTAAGAGCAGAGATGACAGTGAAGTGTGAAGGGATTCATATGATCTCTGCTTTAACATAGTTCACAATCTCTAACAAACAAAAGAATCGATGAGATCAGATTTAGCATAAACATGAACAAAATATTACAGACACAGCTTCTATTAGTGGTACTCAAAAGTGGACGTTGCGGGATGAATTGTAGTTATAACCGATTAAGTGCACCTAGGTAAGGACTATTTTTCACTCACCTCGCAGCTCCTAAGACGGCAGGCCCACATGGGTGTGTTAGAAGAAAGTGTCTGGAGAGGGCCCAGAAAGGGCTCTTCAAACATTCTGGAACAGGAAAGGAATATAGACAAATATACACCACGAGTTACACACACCTCACTCAACTGCTTTCTCCTGCCAGCCAATGTTAAAGACAATATATTGAGGTCATCAATAGGAAACTGTAATATTAACGACAGATTGATCTGATGGGTATATTAATTATAATTTTCTTTAATCATTACTATTTGAGTAACTGCTAAAGCAAAGGCCTCAGTTTGTTCTTCTAAGTACCTGTAGTCCCAACAAATTTAAGTATTTTATATCTCTCTCTAAAAGCTTATTTTGTATTCTTTCATTATATAATTATTTTTCACTTATCAAAAAATGAGCTAATAAAACATCTCAGGTGACTTGTTAGGAATAAAATGATATTATGTCAAGTTCTAACACTAAATGTCATAAATATGGTGTTCATTTAAAAATATTTTCATAGAACAATTAAAAGAATATAAATAATACAAAAACTATGTCTATATTTTCCTATATTATTATAGGTAGCATTATTTTAAGGCAAAAATAAAAGCTGAAATAGATGTCAACAAAAAACATTTTAGGGGCTAGCCCCGTGGCCGAGTGGTTAAGTCTGTGCGCTCTGCTGCAGGCGGCCCAGTGTTTCGTTGGTTCGAATCCTGGGCACGGACATGGCACTGCTCATCGAGCCACGCTGAGGCAGCGTCCCACATGCTACGACTAGAAGGACCCACAACGAAGAATATACAACTATGTACTGCGGGGCTTTGGGGAGAAAAAGGAAAAAATAAAATCTTAAAACAAAAAAAAAACAACCCAACATTTTAAACACTTCACCACAGAGGAATTAAAGGCATAATAATGTGATGAAACCACTAGAAATTTAGGAACTAGAATGGATATTTCTTGATTCTAAACACTCTGTTAGTGTCAGACAGGTTTTCAGACGGCTTCAGAAGCTCACAGGCAGGTGTCCCGGAGGAAAAGCAGCACTGGGGCATTTAGAGCCTCTAGAGCAGCCTCCTTGTTGCCAAGATGCCATTAAAATAATTGAAGAGACATCTGACGACAGCTTATTCTACTTGCTGAATTTATGATCTTTTCTATAGTCAGGCAGCTTTACATGTAAGAATTTTTTTAAAAATTTCCATGGTGATACCAAAAGATGAGCTGCTGTTTCCCACGCACTCACCTGGTCACTGTCTTTTTGGACAATGTGAGGGATGCTTGGGGATGAAGAATGTAACTGCTGCTGTTGTCTGCTAGAGCATCCACTCTTACAACAGGTAATTTTCTGTCACTGGGCTTCTCCTTAGAGACATCTGAACAATAACAACAAGAACAAAGCAACATCAATATCTTGAATAAGACCACGAGACTGCAACTAACTAGAACTCATATATTTGAAACAGGAAAGAGAAGTGATACTCTGAAGCTAAAGATGACAACACTTATCATGCTTTATAGAGAATTTCTCTGATAAACTTGTTAACTTTCAAATTATAATACTGACTATTGCAATTTTGTAAGTAAGTTTTAGAAACTTAGATTGAACAGCTAGGATGTAAAAGTGGTAGGAGTAATTGTCATATTAAGAGTTTCACAATATAATAGGAAAATGTAAAACTGACTCTTTTTGTTTCTATACCATCTTTACAATGTTTTCTGCAAACTACGGTTTTTTTTCTTAAGTTTTAACGACTTTAACAAAAACAAAGAATCATAACACTCAGGCAAAATTATCTACGTTAAACCATTAGCTCTGAAGGAGCAACAAACAGTGTTGCTATCATGTTAGAAAAGAAATTCAAATATAGAAAAGGAAGCGAAGAAGAAGGAAGAGAACTAATATGGATATTATCAAACAGGTAAAGAAAGAACAAAATACAAAGAAATGGGGAGCATGATTCTCCTTTCTGAACCTGAATGAAAAAAGGAAAGAAGAAAAGAGCACACGGGATGAAAAGAATCATTAAAAAAAAGTAATGAATCACACGGCTAACAACAATATTGATAAAAATACAAATGTAAAAACTTCTCCAGTAGCTGTTAGCACTATATTCTTGTTATTGTTGCTGTTATTATTACTGTTATTATAATTAAGAAAAATTTATTTTATGCTCACTGGTAATTTGGGAGGAAGCAAGAGTCAACCAGCTTCATAGAATTCCAAAATGAAATAGACAGCTAACCTAGACAGGAGTTGAAAAATGAACTTGAAATTTATTTGGGCTAAGAAACTTTTTCTAAGTATTCAGTTCACAATCTCACCCAAACATCAATTTTAGCACTGATTTTCATGAGGTGATTTTCTGAAATACACACTTGTTCTTTAAAACATTCTCCATTCCCCTACACCCCCTTACTACTCACCCTGAGGACTAGTCACATCCACAAGCTGCCCCTGAGGTATAACCACTGGGGCCATTCCTGTCTGCGTGGATGGAATTACACGAAGCACCTGTCCATCTTCTGACGGGCTGGCAACAATCATCTGGGAAGCATTAACAAAGAAATCAAATGCATAAGCCTACAATGATTTAACAAAATTAGCACTTAAGTAAATTACTAAAGATATGTCTACCACTACAGTGGACACTATCATTTCCCTCATTTTATAGATGAAAACACTGAGGTACATAAAAAAATTTGTTCAAAGTCTCACAACTGATAAGTGGTAAAGCTAGGATTCAAACAGGCACGTTGACGCTATGTCCTATGATCTTAACCACCATGGTCTTAATCACTACACATCATGAGGTCTAATTACTTAGTAATCTGAAAAGGCTCTGACTGGAATTAATATATTTACTTTTTTCTATTTATTGTATCATCCATATGTGTTTGATCTATTTGTGTGGTAATCATGTGTCCCACACTCTAAGTCATTTTCATTAGTTTAAAAACAGTAACTTGGGGCCAGCCTGGTAGTGGAGAGGTTAAGTTCGTGCTCCACCTCAGTGGCCCAAGGTTCACTGGTGCATATCCCAGGCGCACCGCTCCTCAAGCCATGCTGTGGCAGCATCATCCCACATAAAATAGAGGAGGATTGGCACAGATGTTAGTTCAGCGACAATCTTCCTCAAGCAAAAAGAGGAGGACTGGCAACAGATGTTAGCTCAGGGCCAATCTTCCTCACCAAAAATAAATACATAAATAAAAATAGTAACTTGTTAAATGTCTAGCTAAGCAGGATTTATTTTTATATCTCTGCATTTACACATATCCTGTTTTGGTCCATAAGGAATACCACAGAGTACCCCCAAAGTCTGCAAACATAGGAAGAATCATATATTTATTATACTTTTTTTCTCAGTTTAACAACTGAACCCATTGCCTCAAATTTAGAGGAATGTCAACTAGAAAAGGCACCTAAAGTTGAAGAAAGGCATTTTGAAGCTATCATTTGAAAATTTAACTAATACACCATTTGAAAATGTTTACCCTATATTTCCAGACTTTGTGGACACCCTATAAACTTTATTACCTGACATACGACTCTTCTACTGACACACTTTTACTGTTTTACTCCAAGTCCACTGTTCTCAGTTCCCCTGATCACAAGTAACTCCTGTTAATCATTCACGATCCACTTTCCCAGACTTCCCTTTTGCTATGTAAGACATGAAAACACTGCTGATGCCTGATAGAGACTGACTGCATTCTTACTTTTAAAAGGGTCATTTGAAAAAACTTAAATTTGAAAAAAAATTAAATTAAATAAAACAACTCAACAAAGTAGAATGCTTTAAACATAATCATTAACATTTCCCAGAAATTAAGAGTAGGAATTGCTTCCCTCCCCTAGTGTTTATCAAGTTTCTTAAGATAAAAATATCTCGCCGTACCTCCTATCACTTGAGCATGAAAGAGTAACTGTCAACTCTGATGATGAGAATTTCTTTACAATTATTGAGTGCATACGGAGCAGCAGGACTTTACATGTATCACCTTATTTAACCCTCACCACATTTATACCAAGTATATACACTTTACATACAAGGAAATTGTCACAGAGGTTATAAAACTCACGCAAGGTAACACAGTGCTAAGAGTGAGGTAACAGGTACAAGTGTTACAGTGTAACAAGCTAACACAGAGCTGAGATTCAAACCCAAGCAGTCTGACTCCCCTTAATCACTCCTCTATACTGCCTCCCAATATCTGATGATGTTATTTAAACCTAAAAAAGACAAAAGCAAAATAATACAAAAAAAACCCCTGCTGAACTTTAAAAGGCAATGGTAATAATATTGTTTTAAATTCCGTATTCCTTATAATGAGATTAAATATCTGTCAAAACTATTTCATTCATTCTTAGAAAATGAGAATGCTGTGGTTATTTTTAAATCTGAACAAAACACATATATTTGTAATTTACTCATTCACATGAAAATTTCTTATAAGACTGATGTGTGGAATATCCTCTTGATTTTGAAACTGTTTCCCAAGCACAGTGGACAAGAGTCTCCTTCATTTTCTCTCTCCTTAGCTTGTTCCACCTGGTACCTAAAAAACTATTTTTAATTCACATAATTTCATAATGGTGATGATAATATGACTTTTCCTATTTAAAAAAGCTAATTATCTTTCATCTTTGCTATGAAACCTAACAGAGCTTTGAAGTCATCTGCTGCAATACATCCTATGGCGGCAGACTCTAAATGAGTAGTCTCATATTTGTTGGGCTCTTTGTGTACAATATATCTAATGAATCCAAAATACCATCTCTGCCTCACTCCAGAACTTCCTCATTCTTTGCAGTTTCACCCACTACAGAATCTCCAGGAGTTCCTTGATAGCTTCTACACAAAAAATCATATTGCAACAAAAAGAACAAGAAAAGTCATTTGTTTCAAAAAGCTCCACTTGGGAGGAGATGTTGATAATGGAGAACACTATGCATGTGCGGGGGCAGGGGATATACGGGAAATCTCTGTATCTGCCACTCAATTTTGCTGTGAAACTAAAATGACTCTAAAAAATAAAGTCTGCTAAAACAAAAAAACCAAAAAGCTCCACTAAGTTTCTCAGAATATCATCACTTTCTGATCTTTGGTTCTTTGAAGAAAATACTTTCTTATACTCTATGTTTCTTACACTTATTTCCATGCTTCATGCCACATGTTTCTTATTTCATAGCTTTAAATAACCCTTTGTATCCTCTCCTATCCCAAAATATGTAAAATCACCTTTATAATCACTTCGTATAGAAAGTTTAATACAATTACAAACAGAAGGGGAACTCTAACCTCTTTTTAGAGTCAAACAAACAACTTTTACATGCTTTTTAGGAAAGGTACCATGTATAAAATGATAACCCTTCACACATTTAGACTCTTTGATCCTTCTGTTAGAACATACAGTCTTTCTAAATATTCTGAAAGAAACTGGAACGAATGCCAAATAACAAAAGAAATTACAGTGTTTCATTCTGGACACGAAATATTAAAATGCAGTTGGCTCACATCTAGGTTATCTGCTGCACGTGAACCTCTGCTGGTGATGAAGTATGTAACAGAAGCTCACCCTCACTTTGTATGTCAGTCCTGCAGGAGGCCCAGAAATATGCTGAGCCTGAACACACACAAAAAGGACTTGTCTACACTTAGCCCCCTCTCAACCCCGGAATTTAGCTGGATTATAAAGGGAAAAAAAGGACATATTAACTCAAGAATGCTCTAGACTAGAAACAGAAACAAGGATTAATTTTAGGTAAAATGGTTGCCTACTGTGGTACAATTTATAATTGAAGTACTGATTTTAAAAATAATTTTATTATGAAACTAATAAATATTCATTGTAGAAAATTTGGAAGATACACTTAAACAAGAGATACATTATTCTTCATATTATTACTAATGTAAGTATATTCTTATTAATCAGCAACTTAGAAGTTTTTCTCAGTAATTTTCTTTATTTCAAACAAAACCATCTTTCCTCTCTTCTACTCTAACTACAAACTTGGTCATAAATACTTTTAGTTAACAGTTTAAAGTAGCACTTTCATCTTTATGCATTGTTATTCACATGACACATACATATCTACCTACCAAGATCAGCAAGGGTATGGCTAATTGCCAGTACAACATGGTACTTCCATGGCTTTCTTTTTCTTCAAGAAAGCACACCAGCACGCAGCATGCCAGTCGGTGACTGAGATGTTGATAAAGCAATGACTTTGAGTTCAGTGAAATGCATATATAAAAAATAAGTGTAAGTTATATGTAAACTCAGGCACTTCAGCACTAGTTACAGATTATGCTACATTTCCAACTGATCTCAAAGCACCAGTGTGCCTAGACGTGGTGGCTGGGAAGCACTGCTTTGAACTACTACTTGTAGTCCTGAAAGGAAACCTTTTAAAGTCCTTACATAACTTAAAAATGAATGTCATGGAAATAGTATTTTCAAAGCAATAGTGTCAAGAAATTAAGGTCATCTAGTAAGACTATTTTGCTAAATAGCATAAAACTGGTTATTCATCACATAGACTCACCATTTGTGCGTTAGAATCCCCCAAGGACTGAAGCTCATATTGAACAGGTTGCCCATTTTGGTCCACTAGATGGAACTGCTCTGCAGAAAGAGTCTGAGTCTGAGTCAGGGGCCCTGGCACATTCTGTGATGTGAGGGAATCATCTGCTTCACGAGTAGTAATGGGTAAGACTCTAGGAGAACCATTTTGTCCAAAGGAAGGGTCCCTGGAGTCCATACACGTTAGAAGCTTTTGCAGAGAAAAAAAATCACTTAGATGTTTGTAAAATATAATGTCACAATTTTTTTTAAAAAACGGAATGTTTATAATAAAAAGGTAAAGAATTCATTTTTCAGTTAACTATTCACTTTACTTTTTGCAGGAGCTGTCAATTTACAAAGACTGATATAGACACAAAGCAGTTCTTAAGTGAAATTGTTGACTTTTGTTATATTTTATTTCAATTTTATTTGAAATAAAATTGTCCACGGGAATGCAACCTGAAATGATGAAATATAATTCGACATACATATTTTTCTTTATATATAAATTTTTATGAATACATTATGTTAAGTAAAGCTCTATATTATGAAATTAAATATATGTAGAATTGTGGGTAATTAAGTGTCAAGATTCTTGAATACATCAAATATGACACTGTTCCTGAAGTATAAAATGAAGTTACATGGCATGCTGTTTTCCCTTAGAGTGGGAGGAAGTTCCCAGTTGAACCCCTCCTTCACATACCTGAGAATCTGTCTGTGACTCTTGGGAATCATTATGGTTGACTCCTAAGGAATCACTGGACTGCTCCATGCTGATATCATATTCGATTCCATTTTCTTCAATTATTCAATAGCTGCAAGAGTTCAAATCTCTGATCAACTAAAGCACTTAACATTTTTATGGAAAGTTTGTTTAAAACAGACCTCTCACCTGCCCTACAGCATCACCCTATACAATTTAGCTTAAATCATATCCCTTCTACAAATAAGAAGATAAACATTTCTGTTAAATGACTTGCCAAAGCACCAGAATACATTCAAGGCAGAGCAAAGATTAGTGTTATTTAGTTTCCTCATCCTATCCTTAATTCCACTCATGTACTGGCTTATTAAGGTTGCTATTAGGTGACAGGTATTGTTGTAGCCCTTCAAAAACTTCTAAAATTCTTGGGGCTGGCCCTGTGGCCGAGAGGTTAAATTCACGCACTCTGGTTTAGCAGCCAGGGGTTTCGCTGGTTCGGATCCTGGGTGCAGACATGGCACCGCTCATCAGGCCGTGCTGAGGCAGCGTCCCACATAGCACAACCAGAAGGACCCACAACTAGAATATATAACTATGTACTGGGGGGCTTTGAGGAGAAGAAGAAAAAAAAAAAAAAAAGACTGGCAACAGATGTTAGCTTAGGTGCCAATCTTTAAAAAAAAATTACAACAAACTTCTGAAATTCTCAGTTTACAAAGATTTAATGCAAATAAAAGTTTTTAACTTCATGAGTTGAATGCGCCCTATTGTAGCATTAGATAATCTTAGAAAAGATCTCTTGGTATAGATGGAGACTGGGTATACATAACTCTTAACATAATATACAATCATACCCCTTAATATTGGCTTGACAAGCTTTGACAATGAAGAAATGTGTATTCCAAACAGTCTGAGACACTTAGGCCTAGAACAGTGGTGTTCTAGTGGAGGCGACTTTGTCTCCTCACACAGTTCTCTGCCCTTGGGGATATGTGGCGATGTCAAGAAACATTTTTGAGATACTTAGGCCTAGAACAGTGGCGTTCTGGTGGAGGCGACTTTGTCTCCTCACACAGTTCTCTGCCCTTGGGGATATGTGGCGATGTCAAGAAACATTCTTGGTTGTCACACCTGGTGGGGAGTGATACTGGAATCTAACGGCGAGAAGCTAGGAGCACTGCTAACCATCTTGCAATGCACAGGACAGCCCCACAACAAGATGTCGATGGTGCTGAGGTTCACAAACCCTGGCCTAGTATATTACAGTGACTACAGGATTCCGTAATATCTAAAAAGAATGACATTTTATGTCTCAAAATTGGAGTGCAGTCAAATGAAACTGGACGAATACCATTGAAACATTTATAATATAAAATAAGCTTCTGGAGTCTTTTTAAGAACCTACCCATTTAATTTTACTTTTCATAAGACAAAATAAGTTCTTTTTTAAAAATCTTTAAAATTTTATTTTTTAAATTAACGCACATTAAATTGAACTCTTTTTTTGGCATATAGTTCTATGGATTTTAACATATGTAACCACAACCACAATGAGGATACACATAATTCCATCACTCTAAACCCTAATTTAAATTTATACCTTGTACTTAAGATTTATTCAGTATACATATTTGAACATATTGAAAATTTATTTTTCTGTGATAGCATCTAAACATACATTTGTAAAATTAACCATTTCATAAAATCTACAAGGTTTGCCATTTCATTTTTCCAAAACATAATAAATACTTCTACTCAAATATAAGTTGTAATAGGCTATAAAATCAGTCTTATTTTAATATATGACTATAAAATATCTTAAAACTGCTTCTTCTTTAAGATTTTAAATTATCACTTGTATTCTAATCTAATTTATTATAAAAATTCCAAAAACCTACAGTTACCTCATAGGCTATTAAAGTAAGAAAAAATTTTTTATAACTTTCTTTTCTTTTCTGAATTTTTACACTATAAATACATTAGTCAAGAATAATATTTTTTAGAAGGGGTTTAAAAAATAATAAGAAAGTTCCATTAAGAACAATACAGCAGGTTAGATACTGTAGAAGGCTCTCTTGTTAGATAACAAAAAACAGAGTTGATCTAAAACAAAATCTTTATTTTGTGGCTGGGCTCTGCTACAGAAAGTAACAAAAACCAGAGGCCACTCCAGTCCTCCAGCCTCTCCCCCCAGAAAAAAGAGAAAAGAAAAAGCTGTGAGCTAAAACTTGAGTGATGAGCACAAGCAGAGGAAATTTCCAAGGGCCATGATAACACACCGGTTTTGTGGCTGGGACACTGAAGCTTGGACAAGCAGCTGATAGGGGAGGAGAACTTAAAAATCCCAAGGGGAGACTAGGAACATGAAAGGTCCTGCTTCTGGTAAGAACAAACGCAGCTATTATTTGAAGGCACATAAACCCAATTAAGGCTCAGTTTCCCTTCACATTAAGATCAATCAAATATAAGTTTACAGTCAAAGAGTGTCAAAAATACAAGGAAATAAACCACTGCAAGAGAGGGTGAGTGGACTTGGACACCCCCAAAGACTTCAAATGTTGGAACCATCTAATAATGAACATAAAATAATTATTTAATATTTAAAGAAATAAAAGAATGAATCACAGGAATAAGCAAGCAAGAAGAGACTACAAAAAGCTTAATTTGAAAAAGAACCAAATAGAAGTTTCAGAAACGAAAAATATCAATTAGATGCAGAAGAATTACTAAATTGGAAGACAGATTCTAAAAATTGCCCAGAATGCTTCATAGGAAAAACAGAAGATGAAAAATACGAAGAGACTTAAAACTAGGCAAAATAGAATGAGAAATTATAGCACATCTATCACTGGAGTCTCAAAAGGATAGAAAAGAGAAAATGGACAAGAGACAATATTTGAAGAGATAATGACTGACAATTTTTCAAAACTGAAGACATGAATTCCCAGATAAAGTAAGTACAAAATGTACCAAGATATATCAAAAGAAATCCATACCAAATGTAGTGAAAGTGCAAAATTCTAAAAAGAAACAGCAAAATCTAAAATGCAGTCAGAGAAATAAGAAGATCGCCTGCAGAGTACTGACATTAGATATACAGCAGACCACCCAATAGCAGCAATGGCAGTAATGTCACAGGAACAATAAAAAAGAAAATAACTAGCAATGTACAAATGTATATGCTCAAAACAACTTTTTTGCAAAAGAGGATGAGAGAAAGACATTTTAAGATTAAAAAACCCTGAGTTTACAATGAACAGATCTTACACGAAAGAAACTTCTAAAGAATATAGAAAACAAAAATGATTTGAGATGCTAGAAAAATGGTAGCCAAAAAAAAGTAATAACTCTATGAAAATTCTAAATAAACACTGCACAAATAATAAGATTATAATTTTGTGTACGTGTGTTTTAAGGATAGAAATAAAATACTGGAGAGCTAAATAAAATACACATAACTCAGGAGGGGCGGATGATGGATAAACACAATATATCAAAACTTACGGGATCCAGGGAAAGCAGTGCACAGAGGGATATTTAGAGCAATAATGCCTATATGAAAAAAAGATAAAATCTCAAAACAATAACCTGACTTTATACCTTAAGGAAAAGAAAAAGGAGAGCAAACTAAACTGAAATCTAGCAGAAGGAAGGAAATAATAAAGATAGAGGGGAGATACGCAAAATCAGGAATAGAAAAACAACAGAACTATCAATGAGTCTAAAAGTTGGTTCTTAGACAAGATTGACAAAACTGACAAACTTTTAGCTTGACTGACAATAAAGAAAGAGGGAAGGCACAAATAACTAAAATCAGAAATGAAAGTGGGGACATAACTACCAATCTTACAGAAATTAAAAAGATAACGAGAGAATACTAAGAACAATTGTACAACTATCTCTATTCAGATGACATGGTCTTATATATACAAATCCTGAAGAATACACAAAAAACTATTAGAGTTAAACAAATTAAACAAAGTTGCAGGATACAAGATAAACACACAAAAATCAGTTGTATTTCTATATACTAGAAATGAACAACCCAAAAATGAAATCAAGAAAATAATCCATTTATAATAGCAAGAACAAGAACAAAATACTTACAAATAAATTTAACCAAGGAGGTACAAGACTTGTATGCTGAAATGATAAAATACTGCTTAAAAAAAATTAAAGAAGACCTAAATAAACATATAGACATACTGTGCTCACAGAACTGGAAGATGTGAATACTGTTAAAACGGCACTACTACCCAAAGCAATCTACAGATCCAATGCAATCTCTATCAAAATCCCAAAGACCTTTTTCTCAGTCATAGAAAAGCCAACCCTAAAATTCATATGGAATGCCAAAGAACCTGAATAGTCAAAACAATCTTGAAAAAGAAGCACAAAGTTGGTGGACTTGTTCTTCTCAATTTCAAAACTTACTTCAAAAAAATGCCCTAGAGTACTCGAAAGAATGTGGTACTGAACTAAGGATAGATATGTAGATCAATGGAATAGAATTGAGAGTCCAGAAATAAACTCATATATCTATGGTCAAATAATTTTCAACAAGGGTACCAAAAGCATTCAATGGGGAAGGAATAGTCTCTTCAACAAATGGTTCTGAAAGAACTGAATACACACATACAAAAGAATGAAGATGTACCCCTACCTTACACTATATTAAAAAAAAAAAACAAAAATGGATCAAATAACTAAATGTAAGAGCTAAAGTGATAAAATTCTCAAAAGAAAACATAAGGGTAATTCTTCATAACCTTGAATTTGGCAATGTGTCTTTAGATATGACAACAAAGGATGAGAACTAAAAAAAAATAAATTGGATATTATCAAAATAAAAACTTCTGTGCAAAGGACACCATGACAAGAGTGAAAAGACAATCTAGGGAGAAGATATTTAGACATCAAATATCTGACAAGGGTCTATAATATATAAAGAACTCCGACAACTCAATAACAAAAAGACAACCAAAACAACCTATTCAAAAAATGGGCAAAAGAGTTGAATAGACATTTCTCCAAAGAAGACATACAAAGGGCCAACAAGCACATAAAGATGCTCAAGTTGATTAATCATTATGAAAATGCAAATCAAAACAATAATGAGATATCAGTTCAAACCTGCTGGGATGTCTATATTTTAGAAAAAGAAAATAACAATGGTTGGCAAGGATGTGGAGAAATTGGAATCTTCATGCATTGCCAATAGGCAGGTAAAATGGTGCAGATGCTGTGAAAAACTGGCAGTTTCTTAAGAAGTTAAACATAGAATTACCATATGACAGCAATTCCACTCTAGGTATATACCCAAAAGAATTGAAAACAGGTGTTCAAACGTAAACCTGTACACAAATGTTCATAGTAGCCCTATTCATAATAGCTGAAAGAGGAAACAAGCCTAATGTTCACCAGCTTATGAATGGACCAACAAAATGTGCTATCTTCATATAAAGAGATAGTATTCAGCCATAAGAAGGAAAGAAGTAGTGATACATATACTACCACACAGAATAACCTCAGAAGCATCATGCTAAGTGAAGAAGCCAGACACAAAGAGTCACATATTATATGGTTTCATTTACATAAAACATCCAGTACAGGTAAATCCATACAGGCAGAAAGTAGACTGGTGGGTGCCAAGGACTTAGAGGATGGGGGAACAGAGAGTAACTGCCAAACAGGTACAAGATTTTAATTGGGGATGATGAAAGCATTTTGGAATTAGATAGAGGTGGTACGTGCACAACACTGTGAATGTACAAAATGCCACTGAATTATCCATTTAAAAACAGTTAATTTGGGGGCTAGCCCTGTGGCCGAGCAGTTAAGTTCATGCTCTCTGCTTCGGTGGCCGAGGGCTTCACTGGTTCACATCCTGGGCGTGGACCTAGTGCCACTCATCAAGCCGTGGTGAGGCAGCGTTGCGCACAGTAGAACTGGAAGAACCTACAACTAGTGTATACACCTATCTACTGGGGGGCTTTGGGGAGAAGAAGAAAGAAAAACATTTTAAAAAGATTGACAACAGATGTTAGTTCGGGCCAATCTTTAAAACACAAAGCAAAAAATGCTTAATTTGGGGGCTGGCTCGGTGGCCCAGCAGTTGGGTTCAGAGTGCTCTGCTTCAGCAGCCTGGGTTTGGTCCCAAGGCCCGGACCTGCACCGCTTGTCAGCAGCTGAACCATGGTGACGACTCACATACAAAGTGGAGGAAGACTGGCACAGATGTTAGCTCAAGGCGAATCTTCCTCAAGCAAAACAAAAGAAGAAGATTGACAACGGATGTTAGCTCAAGGCAAATCTTCTCAAGCAAAAAAAGTAATAAAAACAGTTAATTTTAAGTTACATGAATTTCATGTCAATTTTTTGTGTGGTGCTGAACTAACATCTGTGCCAATCTTCCCATATTTTGTATGTGGGATGGCGCCACAGCATGGCTTGATGAGTGGTGTCTAGGTCCATGCCCAGGGTTCAAACCTGCAAACCCTGGGCCACCAAAGCGGAGTGCATGAAATTAACCACTACAGCACTCAGCCAGCCCTCACCTCAACGTTTTTAAAAAAGTAAAATGGTACCAAAAAGAAAAAACAGATGTACGTGTGTGAGTATGTTATGTGTGTGTGACAATCAGGAAAATGTGAACATGCATTATATAGTTGATGATACTAAGGAATTTTTGGTGTGTCTTTAGGTCTGTGAATGATATTATGGATGAAATTAATTACATGATGTTATGATATCCAGGATTTGAGGTGCTCTCTCTCTCTCTGTGCCTACTACTTACCTCAGTTTCCTCTTGTGTGGCTCTGTGTGGCATGCATGCCTCTTCTTGGGAACTGTGAGTAAAAAGCTATTTTTTCAATGGCAATCATCTCCTGATTTGTTGGCCTTACCATATCTGAATAGAAATAAAATCTATTTTAGGAGTGAAGTCAGCATCATGGAGGAGTGAGCTCTTTCGTTAGAGTCTCTCCCCTAAGATACAATGAAAAGGACATTTGTAAAGCAACAGAGGGCATGCACGCAAGACAACAGACATCTGAGAGACCCAGACAGCTGTACATCTGAAGGTGGGGGTGCTGGACCCTCCAGAAAGCAGTGGAAGGAGGTATGGGAATCTCTCTCCCTCTACAACTGCAGCTACCTAGGGTGCTGGACTGCGCGTGGCCCTCAGGGGAGAGGGGAAAGGGGCAGTCCTCCACAGGAACGCCTTTGCTCTCCAAGTTCCCTCACAGCCCATGTAAAAACTCCACATGGAGAAGACAAAGCAACCTTAACACCCCAGTTACATCAATGGATGGATCATCCACATAGAAAGTCAACAAGGAAATAGTGGAATTAAGTGAAAAACTAAACCAGATGGGCTTAATAGATATATATGGAACACTCTATCCAAAAACAGCAGAATATACATTCTTCTCAAGTGTGCATGGAACATTCACAAATACAGACCATATGTTGGGAAACAAAGCAAGCCTCAACAAATTTAAGAAGACTGAAATCATACCAACCATCTTTTCCAACCATAATGCTATGAACTAGAAATCAACCACAAGAAAAAAGGTGGGAAAGTGACAAATATGTAGAGACGAAACAACATGCTACAGAACAACAAATGGATCATTGAAGAAATTAAAGGAAAAATAAAAAAATATCTGGAGATAAATGAAAATGAAAATACACCATACCAACTCATATGGCATGCAGCAAAAGCACTCCTAAAAATAAAATTCATAACAATACAGGCCAACCTTAACAAACAAGAAAAATCTCAAATAAGCACTCTTAAACTACACCTAATAGAACTAGGAAAAGAAGAACAAACAAAGCCCAAAGTCATCAGAAGGAGGGAAATAATAAAAATTAGAACAGAAACACATGAAATTGAAACAACAACAACAAAAAAACAGTAGAAAGGACCAGTGAAACTAAGAGCCAGTTCTTCGAAAAGATAAACAAAATTGACAAACCATTAGCCAGACTTACTAGAAAAAAAGAGAGAAGGTTCAAATAAATAAAATTAGAAATGGAACAGGAGACATTAGAAAGGACACCACAGAAATACAAAGGGTTATAAGAGAATACCATGAAAAACTATATACCAACAAATTAGATAATCTGGAAGAAATGATTCATACAAACTCCCAAAACTGAAGCAAGAAGAAATAGAGAATCTGAATAGATCAATCACAAGTAAAGAGATTGAAACAGTAATCAAAAACCTCCCAAAAACAAACATCTTGGACCAGATGGCTTCTCTGGAGAATTCTACCAAACATTCAAAGAAGATTTAATACCTATCCTTCTAAAACTATTCCAAAAAGTTGAAGAAGATGGAGCACTTCCCAACACATTTTACAAAGCCAACATCACTCTGCTCCAAAAGCCAGACAAGGACAACACAAAGAAGGCAAATTACAGGCCAATATCGCTGATGAACATAGATACAACGATCCACAACAAAATTCTGGCAAACTGAATACAACAATACATTAAAAAGATCATACACTATGATCAAGTGGGATCTATACCAGGGACGCAGGGATGGTTCAACATCCACAAATCAATGTGATACACCACATTAACAAAATGAGGAATAAAAACCACATGATCATCTCCATAGACGCAGAGAAAGCATTTGACAGGATCGAACATCCATTTATGATAAAAAAGCTCTCAATAAAATGGGTATAGAAGGAAAGCATCTCAACATAATAAAGGCCATATATGACAAACCCATAGCCAACTACTCAATGGCTCTGAATGGCTCTGACTCAATGAAAACTGAAAGCCATCCCTCTGAGGATAGGAACAAAACAAGGGTGCCCACTCTCATCATTCTTATTCAACACAGTACTAAAGGTTTTGGCCAGAGTAATTAGGCAAGAGACAGGAATAAAAGGTATCCAAATTGGCAATGAAGAAGCAAAATTCTCGCTATTTGCAGACGACATGATTTTATATGTAGAAAACCCTACAGAATCTATCAGAAAACTATTACAAATAATCAACAATTACAGTAAAGTTGCAGGGTACAAAATCAACTTATAAAAATCAGTTGCATTTCTATACTCTAATAATGAACTAACAGAAAGAGAACTGAAGACTATAATCTCATTTACAATCGCAACAAAAAGAACAAAATATCTAGGAAAAAATTTACCCAAGGAAGTGAAAGCCCTATACAATGAAAACAATAAGACATTATTGAAAGAAATCAATGATGACATAAAGAAATGGAGGGGGCCAGCCTGGTGGCGCAATGGTTAAGTTTGCACGTTCCGCTTCAGCGGCCCAGGGTTTGCTGGTTTGGATCCTGGGTGTGGACAGGGCACTGCTTGGCAAGCCATGCTGTGGTAGGCATCCCACATATAAAGTGGAGGAAGATGGGCACGGATGTAAACTCAGGGCCAGCCTTCCTCAGCAAAAAAAGGAAGATTGGCAGCAGATGTTAGCTCAGGGCTAATCTTCCTCAAAAAATAAAAAAAGAAAGAAAGAAATGGAAAGATATTCCATGCACATGTATCAGAAGAATAAACACAGTTAAAATGTCCATACTGGGGCCGGCCCCGTGGTCAAGTGGTTCAGTTCATGTGCTCTGCTTCGGTGGCCCAGGGTTTTGCTGGTTCAGATCCTGGGAGCGGACATGGCACTGCTCATCAGGCCATGCTGAGGCAGCATCCCACACGCCACAACTAGAAGGACCTACAACTAGAATATACAACTATGTACTGGGGGGGCTTTGGGGAGAAGAAGAAGGAAAAAAAAAAAAACATTGGCAAAAGATGTTAGCTCAGGGCCAATCTTTAAAAAAGAAAAAATTGTCCATACTACCTAAAGCAATCTACAGATTCAATGCAATCCCAGTCACAATCCCAATGACACTGCTTGAGGAAATAGAACAAAGAATCATAAAATTCATTTGGGGCAACAAAGGACCCTGAATAGCTAAAGCAACCCTCAGAAAAAAGAACAAAGCTGGAGGCATCACAATCTCTGACTTCAAAATATACTACAAAGCTATAGTAATAAAACAGCATGGTACTAGCAGAAAAACAGACACACAGATCAATGCAGGAGATCTGAAAGCAAAGATATAAAACCATACATCTATGGACACCTAGTCACCCACAAATGAGCTACGAATATACAGTGGAGAAAGGAAAGGCTCTTCAATAAATGGTGCTGGGAAAACTGGACAGCCACATGCAAAAGAATGAAAGTAGACCAATATCTTTTGCCATACACTAAAATTAACTCAAAATGGATTAGCAACTTGAAGGTAAGACCTGAAACCACAAAACTCCTAGAAGAAAAACAGGCAGTACACTCTTTGACATCAATCTTAGAAGGTTCTTTTCAAACACTATGTCTACTTGGACGAGGGAAACAAATGAAGAAATAGACAAGTGGGACTTCATCAGACTAAAGAGCTTCTGCAAGGCAAAGGAAACCTGAACAAAATGAAAAGACAACCCACTAACTGGGAGAAAATATTTGCAAATCATATATCCAAAAAAGGGTTAATCCCCAAAATATATAAAGAAGTCACACAACTCAACAACAAAAAAACAAACAATCAAAAAATGGGCAGAAGATATGAACAGACATTTTCCCAAAGAAGATACACAGATGGCCAACAGGCACGTGAAAAGATGTTCCACATCAATAATGAGCAGGGAAATGCCAATCAAAACTACACTGAGACATCATCTTACACCTGTTAGAATGGCTATAATCACGAAGACAAAAAAGAAATGTTGGAGAGGGTGTGGAGCAAAGGGAACCCTCATCCACAGCTAGTGGGAATGCAAACTCCTGCAGCCACTATGGAAAACAGTATAGAGATTTCTCAGAAAATTAAAAATACAAATACCATATGACCCAGCTATCACATTACTGGGTATTTATCCAAAGAACTTGAAATCAACAATTCAAAGAGACTAACACACCCCTATGTTCATTGCAGCATTATTCACAATAACCAAGACATGGAAGCGATCCATGTGCCCATCAACAGAAGAATGGATAAAGAAGATGTGGTGTATATATATATATATATGTATATACATATACAATGGAATACTACTCAGCCACAAAAAGACAAAATTGTCCCATTTGCAACAACATAGAGGGACTTAGAGAGTGTTACATTAAGCAAAACAAGCCCCACAGAGAAAGACTAACACCTTATGATTTCACTCATATGTGGAAGATAAACTAACACAGGGACAAAGAGAACAGATTAGTGGTTACCACAGGGGAAGTTGGGGAGTGGGCATAAGGGGTAAAGGGGCACATTTAAATGGTGACGGACAAATAATAATGTACAACTGAAATTACACAGTTATAAACTATTATGACCTAAGTAAAAAAAAAAGAAAAGAAAAGGAAATGATAGGCTTTGAGGTTGCCTTTGAAAGCAGTTGGGAGCTCCTTGGCATCAAGAGAAATGTCTCACTGCGAGGCTATTCTCTAGAAAAGATAAAGTTTTCAGTCCAATAAAAAAAATCTATTTTAAAATAATCATAAACATATAAATGCTAGCATCCTAAATAAAACCTCAGCAAACAAAATCCAGCAATGTATAATAAAAAATGTTCTATCTCAGATGCCACCAACTTTAAGTACAGCCAATATGAACAGTAAGTTTAGACTAGAATTTTATATGAACAAAGTATGATACCAGCTGCCTAAAATAGCACAATGGCATTAAAAAAATGAAAATTCTAGAGATAAACTTGACAAAGATATGGAAGATCTATGCACTGAAAACTACAAAACCTAGATGGGAGAAATTAAAAAACTGTTAGAATTAATAAACAAATTCAGTAAAGTTGCAAGATACAAAATCAATACATAATTTGTTATTTCTATACACTAATAATGAACTATGAG